AGTTTAAGGACCAAATTAGTTTTCCATTCAACAATTTATACACAGTTTGTTTGGTAACACTGTTTGCAAGCCCCTCAATGTAACAGCACTCTTCCTATTTCCTCTCTGGGTTCCCTGGCTCAATTCGTCTTTCTTTCCTGCCTTTTCTGTCTTCTGAACTTTGTTTTGGGACAAATGCTACCCAACCCTTTTCATCTCATATGTTGATTGTACTGAGAAGCACATTTTTCCCTAGTGTTCTTATTCCCTTTGTAGGCCTGTCTACTGTTTGACTAAAGGTTGATCCCCTGGGGTGGGTTCACCTTCTTTCACCTACTCAGCTTGCGTGCCTGTCTATATATCTGCTTGTGAATATTGTGTATTATTGCTATTATTGCAGGATTGTTGTATGTAATCTACTTACTTTTGTTGTCTTTTCCTCTTATGCTCCTCCCAGTGATTTCCTTTGCCATTGGTCATGTTGTGTTGTCCTCCCCTTTACGGTGTATTGTTGTTCCCTTCACCCAAGTTAATAGTGTCTGCTCTCTACTTAGTGATTTTCCTTCCCTTTCCCTCCCATCCTTGATAATCATCAAAGACTGTTGCTTTCTGTGTGTAAACCTCTTCTTGACTTTTTAAAATAATGGTCTCATACAATATTTGTCCTTTTGTAATCGAGGTATCTCACTCAGCGTAACATCCTCCAGGTTCATCCATGTTATGAAGTGTTTCATGGATTCTTTGTTATTCTTTAACATTAATAGTATTCCATTATATGTATAAACCAAAAAGCCAAACTCACTGCCATCGAGTTGATTTTGACTCATAGTGACCCCTCCTTGGGTTTCTGAGGCAGTATCACTTCGGAAGTAAATTGCCCAACCTTCCTTCTGAGGAGTGCCTGGTGGGTTTGAACCACCAGCCTTCTGGTCAGCAGTCAAGTGCCTGAAGCACTACACCACCAGAGCTCCACAGTTAATCTGTTCATCCACCAATGGTTGTTTCCATATTTTTGCTACTGTGAAAAATGCTGCAGTGAACGTGGATGTATATATGTCTATTCATGTCCCAGCTTTTATTTCTCTAGGACATATACCTAGTAGTGGGATTGCTGGATTGTGTGGTATTTCTATTTCCAACTCCCTTTCCTCTTAAGAACTGTTCATTTCAGTCCAACCTTTCTCATCATATATGCATTCTCTCATTCTCAAATTTTCGGACATCAAAAAACATCTTCATTGGAGTTTATTGTTAAATCCCTATTCTCTACTCTGTGCAAAATTTTCTATTTGGTAAGTGATCACAGGAAGTCACACCAAAAAAGCAATGTTTGTGGCATGAAATGTGTAGAGCTGTGAATTGCCACTGAAAAGCTGTGGCATGTTTTAGGAAGTCAGATTCCTGTGGATTGGCCCCAGGAGAGCCAAGGGTCAGAGCTGACAGTGTTTCATATCATTACAGTTATAACTGTTTGTGGCTAGCTGAAGCAAGCATAAGTGGTCAGAAGTACATGATAACAAGTTAAAGGACTTTCTTAAAATAGAAAAGGATTGAAGAACGATGACCATCTGTTTCAATGACAAGTTACCAATCTGTGCTTTGCTCTTGGCATTTCTTTAAATCTTCCTAAGATTTCTTATTTTTCTTGTGCATTTTATGGTATGGTATAAAATAGATTATTGTTACTTTAACAAAGTTTTTTTTTTTTTTTAATAGGAAATCCCCCAAAACCAAAACCTAACCCAGTGCCGTCGAGTCAATTCTGACTCATAGTGACCCTACAGGATAGAGGAGAACTGTCGCATAGGGTCCAAGGCTACAAATCTTCACAGAAGCAGACTACCTTTATCTCTTTCCCACAGATTGGCTGGTGGGGTTGAGCTGTAGAACTTTTGATTAGCAGCCAAATTCTTTAACCACTGTGCCACCAGAGCACAGATAGGAAAAACACTTAAGTCATTCATTATAGGTTAATTGAAGCTCTCTTTTCTATACCTGGAAAAACCTAACCACCAGATCTGTGAAGGAAAAGCTATTTGTTAGCAGCAATCAGAGGGCACACGTGGCACTTAGCCATCTAGAAAACCCTTGAAGTGGCAGCTTATTCTTGCAAAAGGCCTTTGTAATTGCTCCTTGTACTAGGAGAAGGCGCCTCTTCTCCCTTATTTGCATTGTGCGCTCCTCTTGCCATTTAGATTTTAGCTGATGTTGTCTTCAAAAAGAGACCTTACCTGATACCCCAAATAAAGCTAATAAACACTCTCATGTATTTGCTGAGTAATTTTTGGCAAGTTATTTAATCTCCCTCAAGCTAATTTATTCATCCATAAAATAAACCAAACTCACTGCCATCTAGTTGAATCTGACTCATGGTGACCCCTCCTTGGGTTTCCGAGGTGATATCTCTATGGCAGTAGATTGCCCAGTGGGCTCATATTAACCCATTGGATTGTGAGCATCCTGTGAGATAAAGTGGTAAAGCATCTGATATATGAGTCATTCAGTGATAGCTCTTCTTCCATGAGGAAGGTCACTCTGATGGTCACCCCTTGTCCAGGCCTTTATTACCTCCCATTTAATCACTCCTGCACCTCCCGGGGGAGCTCTTGTGGCTATGAGTCAGATCTGCTCGACAGCAGTGAGTTTGGAGCTTGGAGCTGCTCCAGGCTGTCCTTTCAATTTTCAGTTCTCCCTCACTCCCATGGATTTTATATGCTACTGTCAGATTCATAGTCTTCAAAACCTATCTAATAAATAGATAGATAGATAAAATCTTACTTCACTCTTTTAAGAATGCAAATCCCCCTTGATGAACAGCTGCCTCCTTTTTCATGAGACCAGAAGAACTAGATGGTGCCTGGCTACTGTTTCTGAACATTTTGATTGAATAATCCTGATCAAAAGGCGGGGGGGGGGGAATGTCTTTCTAGAACAATGGAGACTAAATGAACCCCCAAACCTATTTCCTTATGATAATCTTTAAACCTTAAACCAAAAACAGCTCCTGAAGTCTTCTTAAAAACAGACAACAGTTGAGCTCCATTAGTAAAGAATGCCTGCCTTGAGCATTATGCTCTTTAAGATCTGTCTATTAAGGGTCAAATTGACAAGAGCAACAAAGGCAGTGAGAATGGTCCTTTGTGGAAGTGACCAAGGCCATGTGGGCAGACTAGATGGCACCAAGGTCAGAGTAGGACAGGGCCTGGAAAAATGGGAGGAGGTGGTGACCAAGTGTCACTGGTGAACAAGGTCATGACAATGCATATAACAGATGTATTTAAATCACTGACTCAAGCAAAGGAGAATGGGATTAACAGATAGTGGTTTTAACATTCTTTTCTATACTTTTAAAGTCAGTAGGCCAGCAGTGTTGATGTCAGGGAGATATTTTTAGGCAAGAGGCCCTCACAGCACCCCTCACATGATGTCAGCAACTAACTATTTTGTCTGCTCATGTAGTCAGCCCTGGCAATAATTGTTTAACATGAAGTCAAAGTGACAAGGTTAAAAGTTAAAAGTCAAAGATATTCTTGAACTTTTAACCTACTAACTGGGCAATTAATTAGTTACTTTGATTATACATATTTCCCTGCTATGGAATATTTAGTTCTAGAGAAAGAAGATACATAAAGTGAAACATTAAAGCAAACTCATTGTCTCTTACACTTTTAACATTGTCAGTTGGTTAGTTATCACATTCCATTTTGTAGTTCTGGGCTTCCAGCACCTTCACTGCACCCTAAAAATATAAACACCCATTCCCAAATTGATTCAACGTCATCACCTGCAATTTTGTGCATAGGCTAGAACGCTCTTCACCTTCAAACATTTTAGTTTTCTAATTAGCTAGTTAGTTCTCACATCTGTTGCTTACATTATTAGTTATTAGTATTTTAAGTTACTATTTTGTATTGGCTAAGAAAGTGCTTAATTAGCTGGATTATCTAGGGGTCACTGTGAGTCAGCCTGTCTGCTTGGTTACTCCCAAGCCAGCACCCTAGTGAAGACCTTGGAGCCGTCAGTCCCATGGAAAATCCTGGCAAAATTAAATGAGGTTATAGGCAATTATTCATCATGAATATGACTGTGCCCAGCAAACATCTACAGCAGAGTCATGAGCTGCATCTGGAGGACACAAAGGCAGGTGGGAAGGAAGCAGGATTTAAGCTATCTGGGTAGTTGCTTCAGGTCCCCTTACACTTGGCATTGGTGCTTTAGCCTGTCCACTTCAAAGTTCAGAGTGTACAAAATCCTTTTTGCTGCATGGGCCACTTCCTGGGATGTCCTTAGCTGAACTTTGAGCTATATGACACTAAAGCCAGGCTCAGAGAAAAACAAGAAAATCAACACTGCTCGTGCAGCACTGCAGTTATTCTCAAAGCTAGAAGTAACCTATTTACATTTCCAAGCTTGGACTATCTCAAGTATCATTAATTGTTTCAGATCTTTCCCTCCTCTGGATGTGCAAATTTCAAGTTTGTAATCATTTTTCAATTTATAAAATACTTTCACCTATATTCTAGGGCTGCATCTGGGCTACAAATATCATTAGAGAAAAGCAGGCTTTAAAGTCTTCAGGCAGTAAATACATTAAACTGCATGAGAATGACTTGCAATAACATTGCAAATGTTGATTGGTGCAAAGATCACAGCATTGGAGCTTTAGGAAATAGAGATTCTGGGTTCTGGTCATCCCCCTATTTTTCCCCACTCTCTCTGTATTCCAACACCACTGCATAACTTTAACCATATCAAATACCTACTCTGGTCGATTGTAGGAAAAAGAAACTTAGCTGTTGAAATGCAGGTAATCTCTTTCCGTGCTATGATTTTAGATTCAAAACAGGAGTTTACACATAGCTAGTCTTAGTCTCAGCACCGACCTTTTTCATCCACATGTAACTAATTTGTTTAACAACCCTCTTCTCCGAGCACAAAGGTGATCTGCATCTCAGTCTCTGTCAACGTGTTCACCACTCCAAATTCCCCCTCATATACCTGCTCAAGTCTGCAAAGCTTACCTTCAGGGCACCAGCTGAGTCAGCATCTGCTGCACCTGCATCCCTTGATTGTGAGCAGACAGATCGCAGGGAGGTGGCTCAGGGTGCCTGCTGCAGCAGAGGACGGGACTCCGTTAGGGAGGCAGGGAAAGGAGAGAAAACTTCAACAGGAATAGTTCGTGTTTTGAAGTTAAAAATAAAACTATATCACAAGGGGCAATGTGACCAGGCTCAGCTTACCACTTTTTCCTTCCCCTGTATTTATTTATCAACACTCAGTCTCTACCAGAGTGGCATTCAGTAAGGATGCCAGATGGGAAGAGGGGTTTTATATCAATGGGTTTTCTCTCCCTTGAGGAAGGAAGAAAATCCATTTAAGGAGGATTATTTTCAAGGCCGGAGCAACGTCTCAGACCCCAGCCTGTTCAGTGGGCAGGTCCAGCCTGGCCCCATTGGCTGGGGGAGACCTCATGAGGGGCTGCTGCTCTAATTATAACCAGGCTGTTCACCTAAACCCATCACTGACTGATACAACAACTTGTGCAAATGGTATGTGTCCTGGTTTTGTTTCTCCTATTTCTTGTCATGACAATAAGTGGCTGTCCTCTCCTGCTCCTCTCTTTTCCTGGAGGGTTGGGGGAGGGAGAGTTTATAATTTAAAAATCATGCATAGAATAATTTCAGCAAAAGAGTTAGAGCTGGTAGGAGTCTTAGCTACATACCATGTTTTTTACAGATTATGTGCCCATGTAAATAAAGTGCCCACACATATAACACACAGAAATTATGAAATCAAATAAAACAGTTCTGGCATAGGGCACCCATGCATATACTATGCATGTCTCATAACATTTCCAGAAGTGAATTTTGGCCTCATTCACCCGTCCTCCCATGTTGTTGTTGCTGTTAGGTGCCATCCAGTCGGCTCTGACTCATAGCGACCCTATATAGAACAGAATGAAACACTGCCCGGTCCTGTGTCACCCTCACAATCCTTGCTATACCTGAGCCCATTGTTGCAGCCACTGTGTCAATCCATCTCATTGAGGGTCTTCCCCTTTTTCA